GAAATCGGGTTATTTCCGTCGTAGCGCGAACGCTGGGCACCTTGGAGAGCGGTTCTTTGCCCTCACGTTGCGGTGCGCGTGCTAATTCCCCGAAGACGGTCCAAAACGGTGCTCCGTACTTTACCCTGCGATGCCCCGTGGGCGTCCTGCCAGGAAGCATCAAAGCCGCCAAGTGGACTCTCGCGTCTCCTTCGCTTCTGTGGCCGCTTGTTGGTGTTATTGTTGTCGCCTTTGCTGCACGGTCTGGCCACGCGCGAAGACTGCTGTCGACTGCTCCGAGCTGACTCGCGGCGAGCGCAACAATGACGGACAGTCGGGGTAGGTGGGCGCAAATCCGAGAATGCGTTGGGCGGGAGCCAGCATCGGCAGCGAGGCGAGGCCCTTCAGCGGTCCAGCGATCCAGCAGTGTTGGGCGGGGGGAGACGTCCGGGCTGGCGGGCCCATGAGTCGGGAGGTGCAAGCCGTCTACGGCGTCACCGACGACGTGGGTGAGATGGCAGCAAGCTTTCAGGAGGCTGCTGCAACCTGCCTTTACTCGCAGGGAGTGGGAATGCGGCGCGGTGCGGTGCGGGTGGGAGTGGGAGTGGGTGGGACGGCGAGTGGGAGTGCGCGATGGAGTGGGAGTGCGCAGTGGGAAGCTGGGCTGGGGCTGGGCTGGAGACTATGGAGGGATGACGGGTGGATGGAGGTGAGTTGCCAGGAAGCCGGGCCAGGCCAGGCCAGGCCAGAGCAGAGCAGCGCATGGAACGCAGCGCAACGAAGCACACAGCGAAGCTCAGGCGCTGCCAGCCATGGATGGCATGCCAGGCCAGGGGGTGGGGACGACAGGAAAAGAGGAGTCATAGCGAAGCTCGTCTTGCTGGAAGCTGATTCTCGGGTGAAATTTGGATGGCCGGAGCCTGGCCTGCCCGCAACCCTGCCTGGCCTGCCCGCCTTCGCCTTGCCTGCCTGCGTCGCCAACATGCAAGTGCAGGGCGCCGCACTTCGCTGCACCACATTGCACCACTACTGCAGTCCACGCCCGTGATCCGCCCACAGCACCACCGCTGGAGATCCCGCCCGCCGGCTCACGTCCATCGTCAACGCCGACTGGCACCCGGCCTGCCGCCGCGCTGCAGCACGCACTCGCTGTGCTGGCGGTGGGCAACATAAGGTAGGTGGCAAGGTACCTTGCGCAGGCATCAAGGCCCAGCCGGTTTCAGCAGGTCCCGACACAACTGTGGCGGAAACGAGGCTTTTCCCCTTTTCCTTTTCCTTTTCCTTGCGGAGCGGATGACCGGGAATGGGTGGCGATTGCGCACACCAAAGGACCCATCGATTCCCCATATCCATGACCCATCCCCATCCCCATCCCCTCCTGTCCAGTCCTATCCCATGCCATCCCTGTCCGGAGGCCACCGAACGCTTTGGCGACAAACGACCTGCCATGCTGCCACACACACCACCACCCGGAGTCGACAACACTCCGAGTGCGAGCACGGCCGGCTCTCCTGTAGGTATTCTCGACAATCGGCCCATCTGGCCATGTCAGGCCCCCCTCCGACGCTGCAGTCCTCCCCCTGAGCCATATCACGAATCAGCAGCCGCCTTGTTTTCTCTTCAGGAGCACGAAAGTCATCATAGGAGTCAGCACGGCGGCGACGAACGCGGGATCCACGCCGATGGCACAGGCGGGCAAAGCGGGTATCTTGGCCGGATCCGACTGCCCCGCGAGCGGCCAGGGGTAGCTTGCCGTTCTCGCACCGACGGCCAAGAAGCCGGCCGGTCGACAGGCAGGGCGGATGCTTGCGATGGGCGCGTTGCGTTGCGTTTCGCCTCAATGCGATGCCTGCCCCGTCTTCCCGCCATCCCAGGGCTTTGGAATGCACACAGCGAGAGGCTTCCTCCCATGCACAGTGCGCAGCGACCGGCACCCCCTGCCACCACCCTCCAGTCGCCGTGAGATCTGCGGCCTTTTTCTGATTTCGATTTTTTTTCTTCTGTTCGCTGGACCCGTCGCTCCCAATCAGCGCCCGCATGGCTGGGTTCCACCATCGGTTACACACCTCCAGGGCCCCATGGCAGACGAATGCACCCATCTCACTGGCTCTCGGGCCCCGGGGCCTGGTTCGTGGGTAACGGAGGGGTTGGGGCGTGTCGATGTGCGCCTTCCGGATGCTTGGAAATGGAAGTGTCACAACGGAGCAGATGCCCTTCCGAGCGCTTGCGACTGGCCCGTCGGTCGGCCGTGGGATGGAGCGACATGCTGCATGTGTTTGTATGTACTCCGTTCTGCCAGGGCAGCGGGTCGAGGCACGCGGCCGGCATCGCGCCTTCGCTCGTCGTCGAGCCCTTGCCCGTCGAGCAAGACCTGACAGCGACCAGAGCACCGCCCGGGCGGGCAGAGAGGGGCGGCCGTGCAGCGCGCACGCGGGCAGGCAAACACGCGATGGTGCGATGCAATGCGATTGATCGCTGCCGTTTAGTCAGTGCGACACACCTGAGCAGCAAGGAACCCAGCCAGCTGGTTCCCAGCGCCGCACTAGTCTCAGGGGCCAATGCTGGCCGCTTGGGCGCTCTAAGCCAACCGCCTGTAGGCAGTCGAGATATTCTCCGCGTTCCGTAGCACAAGCGTTGGAGCCGGGCCGCTAGCAGCCCTAGCTGTGATTTGGCCCGGTTTGCCGTTTGTGAGTTGCCGCGATGTTGGTGATGGCTTCATGGGCGACAGTCCGTACGAGTACGTACGGAGCAGACAGCAGGCAGCAGACAGCGTCCGAGCAGGGGATGGCATCAGCCGACACAGACCCTCGAGCTCTGCCTGGCGCAACAGTTGTCGACAAAACTTTCGTCGATCTGTGGCGGGTCGACTGCCCGCACGTCCCCTTTTCAACCCGCGAAGCATCGATCGGCCAACTGACCCGCGCTGAGCTGTGCGCGTGTGCAGCATCCAACCAGGCGGTAATTCAGCCCATCAATTGGCGGTCGTCTCTGTGACTTATTAGGCTCGGAGTCATTTTGTCACGACGCTGGTTAGGATGGTAGTGCCTAACTTGCGTGTGCTTGCATGTCTCTCTCTGGTCGCTTCCTCGTTCTTCATGGATGCTCTCATCACAGCCAGGGCGCAGACGCTTGCAGGTTGGAGACAACCACAACCCCACAGCCTAAACCCTGGCCTTGCCCAGTCAGGCCAGCCTCGGAGCCCTCGTCTCGATCGCACCACCACCACCTTGTCGACAGCAACACAAGGCTCGAGGTGCTGGGCTGGACTCAAACCAGGGTTGGGTAGCGCGGCCTCCGGTCCCGCTGCTAGCGTAGGAACCAGCCGTCAGCCGTAGTAATTGTGTGCCATCAGCCCAGCTTGAAGGTCCGGGGGACACCAGCGCCAGCGCCAGCTTCAGGGAATCGGGCCTGTCCCTGTCTGCCCAAGCCCCATGGGTACCAATGTCCGTTTGAGACGTGCTGAATTAACTTTGCTCGAACTCCCGGGAATCCGGGCCTCAAGCAGGAGTCTGTGTCGTACTTCGTATCTCCACCACTCAGTCCCCGGCAGAGCGTTCTGCTTCGGGTAAAGGGTGCGAGCTTCGCGTGTTTGCGGGCTATCGTGTCTGCTGAACTGTTGAACGGCACCCGCACCAGCTGCAGCGACCCACAGGCGTCTCAGAAGGTCAGCAATGTTTCATGCCGCCTCGCACGCCATTGGAGGCATGGAAGCTTGAAATGTCGTGGCCGGTGCGCAAACCTCTCCTTCGATAGGCCAACCAGTGGTTGTTGTTACTGGCGAGGAACCAAATTATCAGAGAGATGCCTTTCGGGCCTTGGAAAACCCAAGCAGATAATTGCGTAGAACGTGCCGGGCCAAGAGCAGAGGCGCGGCAACGAAGGGGGCCAACCGTCAACGCTGGTAGAAAGATGCTGGGAGGGGGCTCTCATTCCACCTCCCCCATCGTTCGGAGCACAGCACCAGTACGGTCCACGGTATGGAGTACGAGTACTTCGTACCAACCACACGGGCAGGAAGGAGCACCTGTCGCGGGTTGCGGCAACTGCCACCCTCCCGATGCATCAGGGCACGGCACGCGGGAACACAAGCGAGCAGGCACGAGTTGCAGCCACACAGTTCTGCAGCAAAAAATGGCTTCCGCCTTGATGCGAAATCCCCAAGCTTCCTTGTCGTCCGCTGCCGACCCTTGTGCCACACCCACATCTTTGCCAGCCATGGCCCATTGCCCACTGCAGAGTACCTCCCGTCGTCTGGCGCGCTCCAGCAAGGAGTCCAGTCCGCACTGGGCCCGTCGAGACGCCTGCCCATCGTGCATCGTTCTCGATTGACGGGCACGTTGAGGACGTCGCGCAGCCCGTCTGATTGCAAAGCGCCAGCTGACCACCTTGGGGATGGCATCCGTGAAAAAGGAAGTGTTGGGCGTCGGAGCGTGGGCATTGGCTACTCGCCATTGCTGCACGATGTCCGGGACCGCATGTTCGTGCCGTTTGGCCGGCCAAGCTGCTCACCGCATTGTCATCGCCAGCGGAGCGACGGTCACGTCACACGCCGTGCCACCAGGCGTGAGCCATGGGTGCGTTGCCCGCTCTTCCTCGTAACACCAGAAGCATCGCCAACGCCTCCGCGATTGCACCCACGCGCAGCAGCAAAGGATCCACGTGTTGGCAAAGGGCTTTCGTGCAACGTGGAATCTTGGAACGACCAGGAGCCGGGGCCGCCGCACAACGGCCTCACGTGGTGAGTACACTCCTGCGCTGTGCCATGCCCATGCTAAATGGCGTGCGGTGGGCAGGGACGCCGTTGTACAACGTCGGTTTAGTCGGGTCCGTGTCTCGAAGCCGCCGCCGATCCGACCAGTGCACAACGCGGCCCAGCACACGGTTGACCTGGTCTGCACAGAGCTGGGAGACACATCTCGTCCGTAGCACGTTCAACCTGTCCCAACGGTTATTGCTGATTTGTGTCAATTAACAATTCTTTCCAGCAAATAGCCCCGACTCCTGCCACTTCCAAGCACACTCTCGGCCGCCTTCGACGCGTTCAGAGTCCACAAGAGCCCCTGCTGCGCGCCGAACCAATTCAACCGACGTCCCTAGGGCTGGCCCGGCGTCCCGAGCAGAGACCTACGTTGCGCCACGCACGTTACGCAGGTGCCAACGATATGACGGCAGTCCCCGCCTGATCGGTCGATATCGCCCCCCGGATCGACTCAGGCCACTGGACGGGTGCCCGTTGGATTCTCAAAGCCAAAGTTATCGATGCAAAAATTGTCACGACTTGGGCTTGGGATGGATCTGGACACTTTAGCTGCACCCTCAAGCTCCACGGGTCCGCAATGTGACGCCCTGCAGTGTTTTGATTACGGGGCACAATTACAATCAGGGCGTCATCCGCCAAACGAGACTCTGTCAGCACAGAATCGCATTGAAATGACGTTGAACGCAAGCAATTCGCATCGACAAGAGCCTCATGCCGCACTTCAGGAATGGCTGTGAACCGACGGGATCTAGCGATCGGAATGGGGCGTGTGGTTGTGGACACTTGACACAGAGCCAGGGGTGGTTTTAGCATGACCAAAAATCGCGGGCATGCAGCAATGGCAACCCCCACACGACCTCGGGAGCCGCAGGACGCGAACAGGCAGCTGCTAGTCTCATCCCACCATGACGGTCGCATCCTCGGTCAACTCCACCTCAAACGGCACGGACAACGAACGATACACGTGCCTGCACAAAGGATTATTACCGCTGCTTACTCTTGGTGTTCGACAGAGACGTCGGCCTGCGGATCGCGCATGGAGCTCCCAGCTTCGTTATACGAGCGCCGATTATGTACCAGATATTTTGGAAGAGTCGTCGGCCCCCTTTGCCCACCGCGCTCCCTGCAGATACACTGGTGCGCGTCCTGGTTTAGGTAAGTCGGAGAAAATGGCATTGACCGGCCGTGATAGTGGATCAGGAATAACGGGCCACCGGTCGATATCCACGGCGGACCTTAAAAACCACGATGTTTGCAACGAGGTGGTGAGGATCCACATCAACAGCCCGGGCTGCTGTCACACGTCTCCTGTTGTCAAGCGATTGAGTTTCGGATTCGATTCTGCTTCATCGGGTAAGTAAGCTTCTTCCCACAACGGGGCGGGTGGATAGTGAGTGCCAGCCGGGCAGCCCGTACAGCAAGAGTTCTCCCAGCCAAGCGCGCGGAGGCTGCATGGAAAGACCTGGGGTGGTTGATGGATGAGGCTTCCGAATTTCAAAGCATACCCAAGGACCCTCAGTCACGGAGCACTGCCCACGATCTGGTGGCTCCGACGCATCAACTGGGCATCCTGCCACAAATCCACTCCAAAGCAGATGCATATTCTCGGAATGAGGGCCCAGCATCATCAAAGGCGCCTCTTGGTGACCTCCTCCTCCCCCACTTGGCAGATCTTGGTGCGCCATGCACCTAAATACGTGCACACACTACTTGTATCTGCGTTAGTGGATCAGCGGACGGCGTCCGTGATGACCGGAGGTCCAGGCTTGCCTAGCTCAACGACGCCAGCCCTGCGCCATGGCCACTGCCTGTCGGGCGTTTCCAAGCTCGCCCTCGTTGCAGTGGCGGCTCTCGCAGCCTTGCACTGGAGATGGACTCGCGAGATCCGCACGCTTCGCCCTGCTGAGTCGCCCCATCGGGCCTACAGTATTAGCGCACTACCAGGTATCGCGTGCCCCAGTGTCATCTCTCGAATTCTCCGCCAATGTCAGGGTTCGGCGTGGGAATGGGTCCAGAATAATGCAGTCATATGGCGACACGGAGCCCCGAAGAGCTGTCAGGGGTCATCACGATCGGTGTGTGCGAGATGGACGGTGCGGCGGTCGAGGCAGAACACAGCACGCTGGGTACATCAGCTCGAGGGTATCCCGTGACAGCAAATGGATTCCCGTCACGGTCGACTGCTGACTGCAAAATGCCCCTGGTCAGATACGGAGCGTGATTCCTAACCGCTATGCACCTCTCCGGCCATGGCGTGCAGGATGCAACCGCGCACCCCCTATATCAGGGGCAGGGGACAGCTTCGGCACCACCACACGTTTGTGCCTTTGGACCTGGACGAAGCAGCTCACGGCTGCCATTCCCCAGAAGTCGCCTCGGCTGCGAGATTGTTGGTACAGAGATGGATAGCGCCGTCTTGTCGGAGACTTGGTTTTGGGTAGTGCCGCTCACTAAGATCTTGCATGAAGAGTCTGGCGCCAACGCTGATCGAAGACGAGCCGCATCAAGGCTTCCTCAAGATGTCACTCAAGATCCTGCTAACGATGGAAACCCAACCGGAGTTCGGTACCCTCGTTATTCATCAATTCATTGAATGGCAAGTCGGTCAAGCCGGCCCTGGTTCCCTGGAGCCATTCGCCACCTTGCTCGACCCCCCACGCAGGCAGCATCAGCAGGTATGTCCCTGTCGGGGACCGTCGCTCGAGGGCCCCTGCAGTGACAACACAGCTGCAGCTGTTCCGTTCGGCCAGGCCCAGTTTACTGACGAGAGCAGAAGCGACATGTTGTCAACAGGGTAGACAGACTTCCTGGTCGGCATGGTTCATGTGCCCGTACGATATTGTGTCATATCATGCGAGTCTCGACCCGCCCAGCAGATATTGCTGAGAGTCGACATTGGCGTGCACCAACGACGGCAGAGCATGTACTCGCTCGCTGTTCGCGATTTAGCGGCGGAAGCAGCGATCTGGCGTTGAACAGCCATCTTGCAGGCTGGGCGATGACCAAGCTCCAGTGGAGCGGCGTCGGAAACGTGGGTGGCGTCCAGGATCCAGCGACGGCGCAGCGGTCGGCGCGCCTGTTCCCGAACGACGGCGCCCGTGGCTCCGGCTGGCTAGCGACGTGGATGGGCTTCTTGTGGCCCAGTAGCTGCGGCCATGGCATCAGGGACGGCCCTAGACGCGGCAGCCTGGTGGCCTACGGTAGCTCCCTTCTCTATTCATGGAGAGCAGACGACGCTGACGGCGGGGCGCGACAGAGACGGTGAGTTCAACATCAACCTCGTGCTTGGACATGGCCTCGGAGAGGTCAATCGCCAGGGGCATGTGTCGGCCGGCTGGCTCAGGCATCTCCCTCTCCTGAGGCAGCCAGCTCATTTGCCGCGGCCGTCGCATAGGATCCGGCAAGAGGAAAAGGGCCATTTCACTGAGTGAGTGCTGTGGACAGCCATGGCGGGACGCACACGCCCCTGAGGTGGCCACGCCCCTTGGCCGTCTCGTTCGCCTCGAGAGCGGCAGCGACATGGCACGCGCAGCGCGAGTCGTAAGCCCTGTTGACTTGTATGATGCCGGGGCGCATCTTGGCGCAAGCGACGTCACGCCAGGCCGGCACAATCGACTTTTCGAAATCAGACGTGAGTTTACGCTTCGTTGACACGAGGCCAAGCAGGACGTTGCAAAGCCCCGTAGGCGCTGCAGTGCAGTATCCATTTCCATGGCGATGCGGAACATTTTGCTAACCGATGGTTTTCGGGGGTGGGTACGGCGCCCGGGGAGTGCCCTGTTCACTAATCTCGGGAGGACCGACTCGCGAGCCCCCGGTGACCTGGCACTGAGCGTACTGTGTGGGTGTCTTGGGCCAGACTGTCTGGCTCTGATAGGCGCGATCGCGTGTGGCCGGGCATGGAGGGGGGTGTCGCGATGGATGGTGGGATGGATGGTGACCCAGCCACCCAAGCACCCAAGCCGCCACGCCACCCCTCCTCCCCCGCTGAGTTTGCGGCAGAAGCCAAACACCTTGCTTGGGCTCCCTGTCTGTGCCCAGAGGAGCTGAGCAGCGCAGACGGACGCCGCGTGCAGGGCCAGCAGGGGCGGGCAGGGCCATCAAGATCCGTCATCGAAGGGCATGGTCGCCACTCGCAGGCGGCGAACGCGGAGTTAAGCTCGTCATTGTGCGTTCTCGCGACCCTCCCCGACGACCTCGTCACCCGGGCGCGGCGGCGGAGGGTTGCACGGGCACGATTGACTGCTCGTCCACATACCAGAAATCAGGCGAGGCCGCAGAAGTTGGGGGCGTCGGTGAAGGAAGCCAGGCGAGAAGCGACGTCAGTGACGATTCTCGAGAGAGAGAGACGCCGCTCAACGTCCGCTAGTACGAATTCATCGGGCGCTTCGTCGCCCTTTCTCTTCATGGCCGTGGCCCTTTGGAGAACGCACAGGACAGGCAGCTATGTTCCGTTTGGCTGGATTCGGCGGTCCAGTTCCCCTCGACCCCCGGCACCTGCAAGCGCGCAAGTCATGGCTGGCGATCCGCGCTCTTCGGGGTCGTCAACCGGGAGTCGCCGACTTGATGGGCAACGGGCCTCTCTGCGGCGGCGTCTGAGTGCTTGAGCACGCACGCGCGATACCCACTCTCGACCATGTTTGGATGCGCCCCCCTGACGCTCCAGAGGGAACGGTGATGGAGGGGAGCTGAGAGGCGCCCAAGATGCCAAGGTGCCGTCATCGACAGCGATGGATGGGGAGAAGGTCCCCGGTCGAAAGAATACCCAAGACGAGTTTGGACTTGTGTGTTGGCTCGTGCGTCGTTCAGAGCCTCGACAGCCACAGCCACCTGTCCGTCGTCTTCGCTGCCGCGCCCAGCGCATGCATACAAGGACACACATACGCACATGCAGAGCTGGCCATGTGAGATTGCGACACGTGCCGGGCCCCTGGCCCCTTGTGGCTGGCCGGACGGGCGTGTCGCGCCCGAGTCTGCCACAGTATGCAGCTCTCGCCTCTCTCTCTCTCCCGCTCGCTCGCCACACATGGCCGCAGCCGCCCTCTCGCCCTCTGCCAGCCGAACCTCCCTGTCTCGCTGGCGCTGAAGAAGAGGTGAGCTGGGGCTGGAGAGAGCGAGCTGGGGGGTGAGGGGAGGTGAGACGTTGCGTGCGCGCGGGGGTTATTGTTCAGCCCAAGGGGCCCCCGGACGCATGCCTGTCCACATGCCTGCTCGCCCTCTGCCTCTGCTTGGGCGTGGTGCGTTGCGGAACCCCCCCACCTCTCTTTCTGCTGACCCCGGCAGGCGGAGCAGGGGACGAGGATTCGACGTCGAGGTTCCTCTCGCACTCAGCCAGCAGCAGCCAGCAGCAGCAGCAGCAGCACGCACACTCCGCATTTCCCGGGCAATTGCACGGGCGAACTTTTTGACGCGCTCGTCTTGGGTGGGGTGACGAGAGAAAGCGGGCAATCCCGAGGAGAAGCCATTCGACGGCAGCAGAAGAGAGAGAGGAAGAGAGAGCGAGGCACAGCAATATTCGATGGTCCTATTGAGCAGATGCCGATGGGTCGTGGTTCTCGTTGCCAGCCAGCCTGCCAGGCGCCAAGGCCGCCATCACACGCATTTTGCATACCCCCGGATTGCTTGGGGCGTTCCATGTTCTGTAACACGTCAGGTCGCAACAAGCCTCTGTCGCGGGGCCATACATGCCATGCCATATCATGCCAGGCCATGCTTATTACTTACCTGGAGGCTGTCGTCGGTCCGTCTGGCTGGGCTGTGACAACGACGAGTGACCCCATGCCCTCCCTGCCTACCTTGCAACCCTCCTTGCTCAGGCTGCCGTCCCGTCCTGCCCTCTCCGTCAGTTCGTCCTCGTCCTCATCCTGGCGCTCGTCCGCCCGCTCGGCCAGCCCACCCCACGCGGGCAGACGCGCCGCTCTCCGCCGCCGCCGTCGCGGCGCGTCTTCGTCGTTGAGCCCCTCCCCCCCATCCACTCTCCCCTCCTCTCCCCTGTTGTCCCCTCTGCCCCTTACCCTATCTTTCCGAAGGGGGGCATTGTGTTACGGTGACAGCACTACTAGTAGTAGTAGTAGTACTATGCACATACTCGGCTCCATGTAAGTGCAGTTCGCACGCGTCGGGCGGCGGCGGCGGCGGCGGCGGCAGCAGCATGCTGGGGTACCGGGGTGCTATGCGCTATGCGCTACACGCTGTACGGGGGGCGCGTGCTCGTTCTTGCATCTCATCTCCCCTGCCTTTCTTTCCTCTTCGTGTGAGAGGGACAACGGGGGTGAGGGGCACCGAAGGCTGACAGGTAGGATGTCTAATACGTCGCCGGGCTCGAGACTCGGCACCCTAACCATCCATCCAACCCATCCAGCCACCCACCCATCCACGCGGTGAGGGCATCGATATCAACATCAATATCAAAGAAATAAAAGTACTCTTTATATGCATGCGTGTCAGGTGCTCGCCCAGTCGCTTATCCCTCAACCCATGTCCATCCCCCTCGTCCAATCCCCCATCCAATTCGCCGGGCCCCCTCCCCCCCATGGAATCAGTTTT